CAGATATATCTGTTTTTATTATATAGCTACAGTGAAGCTCCAAAAATCTTTTAACTGCTTCTAAATATTTATAAAATTTTAGTATATATTTCAGAAAACAAAAGAAAAGAAAAGAAAAAGTATTGAGAACTTTACACAATACATATTTCAATGCTTTTAATAAATTTACTCTAAATTAAATCATAAAAAGTAATTATTTCATTTGGCTGCATAATTATATCGAATGAACACAATAAAGGAAATCAATAAAATTATTAAGCATTTATTACTACATTTTCCCCGAAGTGAGACTACATAAGTTTAACTAATAGAAAAGCAATTGAACTCGTATTGGATTCGATTACCTTTGGGTATTCTAAGAAAACATTAAGCATTTATTTGGTGTGGCAAAGTTGAACTAACGACCAAAAACCATTAGCCAAGAAATTGAAATTTATGGTTTGGCTTATCTCACCTCATATTAAATCAATATTTAAGAATATTTATGACAAAACAAAAATGACCAAAAATATTTAAATTTAATAAATAAAAAGTTAATTTTGATATTAAAAGAATTACAACGATACGATTACAAATGTTATGAAGGGATATGGCGTTGTTTCCGTTCGGAAAGTTAAAAATAAGCAGCACGTTCTCCATTTTTTATTACATGTCAAACCGCACGATAGGAAGGTCATGGCTGTAACATATTTCGTGGGTGACAAAAACGAGGTCAAAGCAAATGTGGGTGACATATTTTGAGCATTTATATCTTAATTACAAAAATTCCTTCCCAACAAATAAAAGCGGTATAAGTTAAGTTGTGGATATTGAGATAAAAAATAAATCATTTATAATAAGTAATTTCATAGAATTTTTATATATATAGTATCCATTTATTATTATAACCTAATACTTTCTTATACAGTTATCTATAATAGGAATTTTTATATAAATTTAAAATTTTTTATTTTATAAATAAATAAATACTTTTAACCAAAAGTAATAAATAAGTACAATAAATAAATAAATAGTTACATAAGTGCAGTCCAAAAAATCTCTAGGAAATTTCAATTTACTTTACCTCAATTTACTCGAACTCGCACACGCACACGCACACGGCCTATAAATCCAATATATACTTTTTACTTATTACATTTTTTTTCATCGATGTTTTCAAAATCATTTTTCATATAAAATCCAATACACAGACCATATGTAATATTAACAAAAATAATCAATATCGTAGGTTACCATTTTCATTCATGACTGAGTGGATTCACAAGTATAAGTCATTTTTGGATTGACTTTAGAACCATTTAAATATCATATTTCAGAAAAGCTTAAAAAAATACTTTTATGCTTTTTGAATGGCAACATTGAGAAACACTACTATCTTGCAACACACCGAATATTTAATAACCAATTATTAAAATTCAAACTATTAACTATCTCACATTTCATATCACATCTTCATATCTTTATATTTTAAAAAATGTGAAAAGCTAATGTGAATTTTAAATTTTATAAATTCGATATGAATCGATAAGCGAGATGTAACTAATACAATTCTCATTAGCTTCTTTGACATTTACACTTCCATGAGCAATGTTTGGTTAGAATAGATGTTAAAATTATCTGATTTTATATATCTAAAGTTATTCATTTACGAGTAAAGATCATTTATGATATAGCTGGGCTTTTAGAAGAAATTTCTGAATTCTTCCAACAACAAGAATATGTTAGGCATCTAATCGAGAGATGTGTAATAAATTAAAAATTAGTTTATGATTCTAAAATATAATTTTTGACTATAAATTTGTTGCATATACTCTTCTTTGGTACTCTGTATCTTGGTGAATACTGAAAATGAAAGTTCCCTCTCACTTACTATTTTTTTTAGGTTTTTTGGACCAAATAATCATCTTCTATAATTGTATCATTTCTCTAGAATATATTTATTTATAATTTAGTATTTGTCATAAAAAATATAACTCTCAAAATAAATTTCAAAAGCAAATTAATTTATATTTAAAGTAAAAAAATTTTAAATTTCCAACCTTATTAAGTTGGGATTTGAATTTGATTACAACATGAAAAAGATATTGACAAAAAGGTCTTCAAGCATGTATCTAAAAAATTTGTTCTCATCGATATAAATTTTTTCAAACAAAAACTCTTATACACAAATATATATATATATATATTATATGTATATAAGAGCGTATTTATATATATAACCTTAAGTAATTTAAATGTTTTTAAAAAAATATAATCAAAATAAATTTAAGCGATAATTTTTCCTTGCCAAGTTTTGGATCAAATCAAAGAGAAAACTAAGAAAAAAACAAACCGAAAATTCTAATTTTAAAGTAAATTTATTCAAAAAAATATAAAAAAGTTCAGGAAAGAAAAAGTCGCATCTATTATTGAAGCAACAACAAGAATAGCTCAATTTGCGACAAATTAAAAAATTAAATATAATGGAAGAAAATCGCTTTCTGTAGAATTCTTCATTTGAAAAAGAAAATTTACGTAAAACATTGGGAAAGCAATGATTCGAATAAATTGAGTTTGCGATTAGAGATCAGAAAATGCATTCCATGGCATTTTCTAATTGAAAAGCCAATTAAAAATGTTTTTCTCTTGAATTTCTTCACTATATATATATAACACATATATATATATATGCTTATATATAAGCATATAAGAATGAATATATTAAGTTCTAGATAGGTAGATGAAGTGAGAGTTCTTTGCGGTGGTTATAATGGTCTGGGTAAGACATATAGGACAATCAAACTCCATACACCTAAAACTCTACGATTATAACATTAACGCAATTATGAAAGTGAATATTTATTTGATTTCTTAACTGCTTTGGTTGTAAGGTGAATTGAAGAATATACTTGAAATTAGATCAAGATAAGGAATGACAATAGGAAAATAGCTCTTCAGATATCTTGTCCATAGACACCATTAGACGATCTAGAGGATTTCAGATAGGATAGGTTCAAAGTGTTTCCATGTTGTCATATAGTCCAGTGTCTTTGGAAAATCGTTGTGCTTTATTTTGTTCTTATGGATCAAATCTTATGTATTAGATTTGGGGAACTTAGGCTCTACTGTCCTTGGTTTAGATACTAAATCAATAGTAAGTACGTTAGAAATCAATACCTTCCTAATAAAATATATCCGGCTAGCTTAAAAAAGGTAAAATCCTTTCTGTTTGGATTTTACTGTTGAAGATGGATTTTTTTAAAACTGTCGAGGATGCAGTGCTTTGGTATCTACTAATATTATTATCATATAGTTAACTCATATATATCAGTAACTTAATGTTAGATAATGTGTTTATCATTTGGAATTTCTCCTAACTTCAAAATGTATATTAAATCTTTAAATTTATTTCAATATGAATTTACTACCATAAAAGTATTTAAAATAATTATTAAATTTTATTTTTAAGATCAATTATGACGAAAGAAACTATTTCTTAATTAAAATTATTTTTTTAATGGGTGGGTTTGACAAGGTGAAGAGTAGTGAACAACAAATTTTATTTTTGAATTAATTGAATTTTTGACTGATCATACAGCTGTTTCGAGTAATGCCAAATAGCCATCATCAGCGATCTTATTGGAAATATTTCTTATATATAATTATTTATAAATATTTTCTTAAACTCAAAGTAGCAAGACCTAAACTTATACCCTTTCTAATTTGAGGTTCTCAGTTGGCATCGTTTAACCAACTGACCCAAAGCCAGCCGTACTTGACTTGTATTATTATTTTATGCAAAAATAATTGATTAAATAAAATTTTTGAAATGTTCTGTCTTTATAGTTTTTTATGTTCTCGATTTGAAAGCACATGATTATTCATTTTCATTAATAAAGGAAACTAGGGTTGATAATAATTATTATTTTTTTTTCAAATTTGTGCTTTTCATTTCCACGTACTTTGAGTTAATAACTGAAATAATGAATACACAGCAATACACAGACAATATTTTCCAAAAATACAAAAACCTACAAATATGATTTCAAATTAAAAGAGTTTCAGTCAGATTCGTTCACAGTAACGCCAAATGCAACAATAACAAGTGTTCTTTTATAATGTGTAAATATATAATATGTTAGCAGATACGTAAATACTTAGATACATAGATACGTAGATGCGAAAGATAAATGTGAAATTGGTGTTCGTTGTCATCGATGTTGTTGTCGTTTTTGTTTATTGTCGGGTTTGTCGCGTTCTATCAATACTAACACTCACTATGCACAGTCGGCACACTGTTCGAGTGCTCCAATGAATGGATGGAAAAATCAGAAACGAACGACACATAATGCCGAGCTGACCACAAAGCGACGCGCGGATATTCACGAAAGTTTTATAGATACTAGATACTTTAATGTTATTTTCAGTAGTACGACGAAGTTCAGTACTACGACGAGCTATCAGCACATGTGCGAATGGAAAAGTAACTTAGTTGTGACTTACTTGGCTTAACCGGCAGTTGAGTCAGTGGGAACGAATTACAACGCAGTCAATGAAAAGCGGCGGTAGTGTTGAAATTGTACTTAAAAGTTTTAAGTTAAAACTGAATGAATATGAAACTCAACCGACTTCTCTCCACTGATCAAAACCGTCAAATAAACAGTCAGAAGCCGAAGCAAAAATTTGAAAATCATCAAATATACGCGCGTGTGAAAAATATTTGAATTTATTTTGCATTTTTACATTTAACTTAAATATGTGAAAAGTAATAAAATTAACAAATAAATTTTGTTAACTGTGCCAACTAAACTAAAAATTCAATCTGTACTCGCACGCAAAATTTCATGAAACAATAAAAAAATTATAAAAAAAAATCATGTTCATCCCAAATATATTTAAAGAAATTGTCTTATTAGAAACATTAAAGCATTAAAACGTTAAAACGTTAAATCATCACATTAAAAATAACTTAAAAATTGTTTCAAAAAGTGGCTGAGAACACATTTTCTTTTCGAGTTGAATATTTTTTTAATATTTTGAAAAATTAAATATCTTAAAATTAAACGAAATAAAATGCAAATGTCATTTCGTCAAAAGCAATTTGCATGTGGGTGATCGTTAGCAGAATCTTAAGAGGAAAGCGTTGGTTTTCCAAAAAAAAGATTGAATAAAAATAAATCCAGAAAAAAACGCATTAAAATTTTTGAACTATAAAAGCAAGAAGGAATTAAAATAAAATGGATAACGAAGACGCAAAAGAGAAAGAAAAGATGCATCATCCATGGGATGAAGGTACGACATCATCAAAAATAATTCAATTTATTTACATACAATTCTAGTATCCAAAAAATTACTAATACGCAATGGTGACCATTAATTTTCTTTGTTTGAATAAAAAGTACACAAGTTAAGAGTGCTTAAATTTATCACAGCACGTCAGTGTTGATATCTCTAGCCTTAGAATTGGCCAGATTCTTTCCTATATATGAATGCCTCTGGCCGGTTCACCACAACTAACTAACTAACTAATGTCAGTATTATTTTTATAGAAACAATTAAAAGTAAGCATGACTTTTAGTGTAATATAAAGAATTATCTTTGAGATGATTATGTTTATATAAGCCACATTTGTTTTTTAATTACAAAACGATAAAAGTTTTATCAGAAGATACACTATTTATGTAGATATAAGTAATTAGTAATTTTATTTAAATTTTTTTATTTAAATACACTATTACTTCAAACTTTACATATATTAAGCAGTAATTATAACTATTTTGCATATAGAATAATGCTTTGATATTATTATTACACTTTCCAAATCTGTTTGAAATGAAGTTGAGGGCTCCTGAAGTTGCCGATAATATACTAGCAAAAAAATTCATTTCAAAACGTATTATAAGATTTTCCATAAATTAAATAAATGTTTGTCAGATCTGAACGGAAACAGTACATATAATAGCGTATCTGTATTATTTAAATATCAGGACATAGTGATTAACGCAATAACCGTAGAGTTAATGAACTGGAACGTGAAAGCGCATTAATGGAGTATATAATTTATTCAAGATGTCTATAAATCTATGATGTGCTTTACTTCCTTCGGAAACCACAAATAGTGTGGTCAATCGCATCAAGAATATACAAAGTCTATCTGTTTATTAATCCATTTATCAAACTATTTTACTTAGGAATATTATCTTTGTTATAAATGTGCATTGCCTAATAAACACATACGCACTGAGAAGCGTTTTTACTTAATATATTTGCGATTTATGTAAAAAAAACAAGTACGAATTAGAGTTTTTGTTATATACAGTAAAACTCCTTGGTATTAAGTAAACTGAGAGAATAAGCACATTTATAGTCTGCGGGTCGGAGTACAACACAACAGCCTTATTAATCATATCTCTAATTGGTATCAATAAGAAAGTAGGGCTCTATACTTAGTACTCGGTGCCAACCCGTGTTATATATATGCCACTATTTTATAAAATAGAAATTGGTATTTGTTTTATCTGTAAATAAACATTGGATTTAATAGAACCTTGTCTATACCAATAAACTATAGTAGATGTGATTAATTTTTCTATATTCTAGCGAGACTCTAAAGTACATTATCTTCTTGTGATAGTTAAGACTTTAGACAGTTACTTTTTTAATGTATTTCGCGTCATGTTTTTATTATTATATGCGTTTTTGTTAGTGAAATGCAAATAAAATAAAAAATAATAATAATTGTTCAGTTTTTATTAAATGCATCTATATAAACGAAACCGAAAGTCTCAATCTTATCTGGTTAATTATATTTTTTTGCAATATCTAAAGAGTTATATACAAATAAAAATAGATAAAAAGTTAAGATATTTTCTTTTATTAAGCGTCACTGTTTCTAGCTATTTAATTCTGTTATTTACAAATATTATCTTATTGCAAACAATTAACAATAGAATTTGCAGCTTAGTCTTTACTTTGGTTAATACCATTTATAAGATTCAAGCGAATTCGTAAGAATTCTTTTTATTATAACAGTACTTACTTAATAAAAATAATAAAAAATTAAACAATAATCTTCGTAAATAATATATATTTGAAATATTTCATTTTATGCACATTTATGAGTATTAAAAAATTATATTTACTGCCTTTATATATATCTTTTACTGTACTATTCCTTTTATTCTTAATTATTTCAACCCAACGTAGGTCAAGTGATTACCGAATGAATATAAATCGTCACCATTAAGTTTAAATTAAAAATCGTCTCAACTCCAGTATAATTCTACAGTAGTGCAGAAGAAGACATCGGGTATTAAAATAATTATGAATCTTAAGTCCACTTTTCGCCTTGAAATTAATTCTTTTTTTTTAAAGAAATATTGTTGAAAGCACTATAAACTTTTTGTAAGAATAAAAGCATATTTTATCAAATTTAAATAATAAAAATATATTGCAAGACAATGATCAAGGCAATATTTCTAGGATTTTAAACTAAAATTGACGAAACATATAAATTAAATATGAGTAAAAAGTCTCTCTGGTGCTTAATAGCCATTTAAACCATTTTAAAAATAATAAAGTACAAGCATATTTGGACATCAAAAAGGTAGAAGCATCTATTAGTTCCAATAATGCAAAATCTCTAAAAAAATTATTTGTGAAAGACAACAAAAATTTAAAATTTAAATGAACAGTAGCTCCTCTTAGCATAGTGACAAATATGAGGAAATATTTGGTTTGGAACTTTCCTCAATTTTTTTATTATTAAACCAAGTCTAAGACAATTCAATTGTATGATCTTAATATTCTAAATAGTCTTGCAAATTAATATCTTAGTTGCCAGCTTTATTTAAAATGTCTAATTTGTATCTAATAGTAACAATATCGGTTTTAATTATCAAGTTATTTTATAAACAATGTAGTATTTAGTTTATGTAGTATACTCTAGTATTAAACATTTGTTCATTAAAACTTTTTGTCCATAATGTAATTACAATATGTGCATATATACTTGTATATAATACAAAAATTCATTCATATGTATACATATACATTTATGTAGGTATGATATCATTAAAATAAAATGAAAAATTTAAAACTATTTTGCATTTAAGTGGAAAATAAATTAAAATAGGTAACTACTTCTTAGTCTCATAAGAATTCATTTGGATTGCGTTTCTTTAGCAAAAAACAAATTTTTGCATTGCAGTCAGAAAAGTCTTTTATCTTGAAAAATAGTGGACAGCATTCTTGTTCTTAAACTTGTTTCTAAATCTTAAGCTCCGTTATATTAAATTATTATTATTTTTTTAATATTATTAATATTTATTAAACTCTTGCAACACTTGATCTTGACTGCAATAATTTTGAACGTAGCAAAAGTCACGTTCCTAAAGCAACTTTTAATATTTCCAGTCATTTAAATACGAATCTTTGAAACATGTTATTTGAAAAGCAAACTTCAACAAATTAATCAATAAATAGTTTGTATTTTTAATAACCTTAAACTAAATTAAAAATAATATATATTAAAACTTAATCACCAAATTTTTTTATTGAGTTTGTAAAAAATTATTACTCTAAAGCAAACTACTGTAAAAAACTGAAAACTGAAAATAATTTATTTATTTTTTTTTTGTTAATTTACATACTAAACAATTAGTAAACAGTTTAATTTTATTTACGAAAATATAATAATATAGTCAAATACTCAATAGTATGTAAAAGTTAAAGAAAAAAATTTGTTAGAATAATAATATTTATATGTAAAGTAGGACCTATACTCTAAACCCAGAAGAGGGCACAATAGACCTGACATTCGCAGTGCCACATCCCTTAACAAAAATAATAAATAATATTTATATATATTATAAAACAAAATAAAATAAGCATTCACGAAAAAAAGCATTCATTAAAAGGCATAAAGTTCAATAGTGAAAAACATAAGTGAAAAAATAAAGGCACTGAACGTTTAGATGTTAAAAATAATAATAATAATAATAATGGTTATGTAGCGTTTAGCAAAGCTTCAGACACTACTATTCACCAGCTAGAAATTACACAAAGCCAGGCTCTGAGAAGACTTTTCCATGGTACATTAGGACGAATGACATCCTCAGGAACATCAAGATTAATCCCATCAAAAATTACATATAGAATAGAGCCCTGAAATTATTTGCGAAAACTGACAGACTTACCAACACCGCGTTATCAAATCTCAAAATGGTTACAGGCTTCTCGGGGAAGTATGCAGATCTGAGGTAAATTATTGGGGGGGGTTTTGAAAATACCTCGAGTTAAAAAAGAATATAAGTGCTTAAGTACACTAGCTCAAAACAGCTTCAACATAATAAATAGAAAAAGAAAGGCACTTAATGATTGAAAGGGATCGACAATCAGGGTATATTCATAGTCAAACAATATAGATTTTGATTGTTAATCTCTAGATAAAGTAAAACATACAGTACATTGTATGTTTAAAATAGTAAAAATTTTTTTAAAAGGTAAGAAAATTTAAATTAAAAAAAAAAAACTTACACATTTTGAGCAAATATGCTAAATTTTTATAGATACATAATTTTATGGTACTGAAGGAAACTGTTTTCAGTCAAGTAAATTCAATTTTCCACAACTTTTTTGAGTATTAAAAGCTGTCTCTCACGATTTTAATACCCGATGTCTTCTACGGAAGTATAGATTCTGTATAACTATATTGGAGTTGAGATGATTTTTAACTTAAACATAATGGTGGCCATTTATACTCATTAAGTAATGATATTATTCATTTTCTAATATTATCTAATTTACTTTCAGGTGGGTTAGAATAACTTCCTTAACATACTCGAGATTTCAAAATATAAATAAAGTTTATGTATTTAAACCATACCGCATTTGAATAAGACAACAAAAATACGAATATTTACGAAGTTAATCAGTTTGTTTGTAAGCAAATAAAAGCAACAGTTTTTACTACATGCGAGTAATTCGTAACCTAAAATCTTATAGACTTGAAGTAGACTTATGTAGTAAAGCGGGTGGATGTGAGGCAGTCTGTTATAGCTACAGGTGTTACCGGTGTGGGCCAATTGTTGGAAAATTTTGCATGCAAACTTTAACGTCTTACAAACGTTAATTTTTCAGTTTATGTTAATTTAAGTTTCGCCTGTCGAGTTGAAGATATTTGCATTGAGATTTTCACACAATCTTCTTAGCCTTTTATTGATTCGAAATATTACATATTCATAAAAATAATTTTATATTTTTTAAATAATTTTTATATAAAACTTACTAAGCTAGGAAATAAGTGCTCACTATATGAATGAATTTAGTATTTTTTTTTATTGTGCAATAAATTCATGTAGAATTTTTATCTAATCTTAGCGCTTTGTTATTTTGATGTTCCCCAGTGTTGTGTTGTTGCCTTCAGTTGGCTTTTGATTAGGTTTTATATCATCATTTGACATTTGACGTATTATTTATAGAAGAATAAAAACGCTTTAGTACTCAACTAGTAACTTTTATTTGAGCTTATGAGTTTATGTAATAAAATTTGGCAAAGTCCAAATTATTTATTGGTCGAATATTTTCACGGCTTCGGCCAGAAGCTATAGTCTAAGTCGAGTACTAAGATTTCTAAATTCATTTACACTACACACAATTTACTGAATATGGTACCTTTGACTGTGTAAATAAAAAAAGTTATTCACGCACATATCTAAACTTGTATATATATATATATATGACGACCTTCTCACATTTTATTTACATTGGCATGGAATTCTCAATTAGTTTTTATTTTCGTATTTGTTTTTAATTTAGTACTTAGTAAATAACTAAGTACGAAATTATTTACTACTAATTATGAAATATTTATCAAAACAATACAATATTATGGTTTGAAATTAAAATAATATGAGTAGTTCTTAAACCGATGATGGAGTATGTTCAACATTCAGAAATAATTTAGAATGTTTATATGAAAGTAATAATATTGTTTAATATAATTATGATTTCTATGTTTATATATTTAATGAATTTAAGTGAAGAAGAATGCCGTCATTTATTTTAAAACGAGAATGTGTCATAACCAGTGTTGTAATGTCCCTAGTTACAAGTATCTAGATACTGAATCTAGGTACATATTGGCTTACCTCGTATACTACTTGGATATATTTTTATTCGTGTACACTACAATAGATACAAATATTTTATATATATATATATATATGTATATATATATATTTGTAAAATATGTATAGCTAGTCAAAAATACAGACCAATAATTAAATAGATACTTATATTTTCAAGTTACATAAAATGCAATTATATATTCATTATTGTATTTGGTCTGTGTGTAGCTAAAATACATATTGTATTTGCTTTCAATATAAAATAGTGCGTCTTAAGTATTAAATTTTTATTCAAAATTGTACCTTTCAATTAGCTTTGAATAAGCCTCGATAGTATTACAGAACTGTATCTATATTTATATCTATTTTCTTTAAGAAATCTGTACCTAGTTACAAAAACATTTTTTTTCCGATAGGTGAAAAGCATCTAAAACCAGAATGTGAGATTTGAACCCACTAAAATCAGCTTTTAGGAATGAATTGAGAAGATTTCCACAGTAATGCAGAACCTTCATTCTAGTAATCAGGGTAGAGAGATGTGGCTTAATACCTAGCGAACTAGGTTGATATAAGCCAGAAAGCATGGACGTAGTGCAGGTACAAAGGGTCTAGTGGAGCGGATTGGGTTAAGATAGAAGAACAAAGTAAAACTAAATATATATAAGCTATTATACATACAAATTATACGAGCATTTTAAGACATTCATCTTTTTAACTATTTTACAGAATATAAAATATACGAACTATTTGAATGTAAACGAGTATCTGCATAGTTAAACTATTTGATGCAAATCCGAAGATTCATATATGCTGAGTGGGTTGATTAACAAATAAATCGAATAATAAGAACAGTATTAGTATGTTGAGCAATCGTCTAAAAAGAAAATAATTAAACATAAGAGTAGCATCAAAAATTATGGCCAAAAACACTTCTTTTATTTAAAGATATTTAAAATCTAGTTATTAATCATTATTTCAAATAAAAATAAATGATTTTGTAGTATGGCACTTATGTATGTCAGATATTTATATTTTTTCAGTCTAATCTATAATTTGCATATTAAAGTACTAAAAACTACCAAGCCGCTTTACAGATCTACTTCTATTTCTTAATTACCGCTACAGATCAAATATAGGATTGTTTTTTTGTTTTTCAACTTAACAAGAGTCCTCAAGGTTTCTCGCAGTTGTTTCCCCGTTATTAACATAAAATCGTTTTAGTATTTGTATCTAGTTGTCACCAGTCTAGTGACAACAGTGATGTCGATTTTCAAACCACAATTTATGTATCACTGATGGAAGTGTTTTCTTGATATATCAATAGTTCGGATGATTCTTTGAGATTGTAAACCTATATCCGATACCATTTGATTCTTCTATAAACTATAAATTCTCCTGTTGAACTTTGCCAAATATTCTATAAATAAACAGGAAAACCATACATTAGTTTAAAGTTTATGGACAATTATAAATTCTAAACTAAAGTAGTGATTAAAGAATAGTCATATAAAGAATTTAATTTATAAAAATTAACTAAATTAAAATTGCTGAATTTTTTATATTTTGTAGAAGGTCATAATCAAAAAATGGCCTATATAAACAGTTGATTTTTTAGAAATAAATAATAATCCTTAATTCAAATATTTGCAGGACTAACAAGAAATCGTTTGACCGGCGCTGCATTGACAAGATTCTTGGTTTGCATTGCACCAGTTATGGGTAAATCACAACAACAATTTCTATTTAAAATTACCATATATGTATATCATATGCGCTACACCATTTGATATATGTATTAATGTTGAAGTGAATAAACAAATCATAACGCGTCATTTGTTGTTGTGCTCATAATATATTATATTAGTAAAATATATATGTCGATCTTCTTTTGTTATGGTTTGGAGTTAATAATGGGAAGAGTGCTTGGTACTAGAATAATTATTTTATAAGTTTACCGATCCGAGGTCATACCGATCATGTTCTGTAATATTGCATATTACAGATATAAACATTTCTTGCGCATTACACACATATTTCAGCAACTTGTTGCAGAAACATTGCCATAACATGCAACATGTATATGACTCTCTTGTAGTCAGAAATTCATTTTGGTGTTTAATAAAAGTAATTGTTATTACATTATTCCATATAAACATGTTATAATTAAATTAAATTCACTTATAGAATATATCATACATGCCATGTACTTTTGGACCAAAACCCAGAATTATACATATATTTCATTATATATGTCATACTAAATAATATATTTGTTGTTCTGTTTTTAAATACGCTTACGCATGTACACATTATTTTATTCATATTTTATATCTGCGATGATTACTAAATGTTTTCACTGCTCATTTGTGGGTGTTTTTCCTTGTACATTTTCTGTGTACAGTATTTTGTGTATATAAGTATGTACTATCCGTAGAATACGAGTATTTTGTCAGTTTGCTCGAACCCAAAATACTCGTACATGACAAATATTTCATTTCGTCGATTTGCCTTCATATGCCGCCAACTTAAAAGAAAATTCAAACAAGGTCACCAATCTGTTGCCCAACGTTGGATGCTGAGTATGTTGCCATAGGATTTTCAAAAAAATCTGTTCTTGGCGCCCGACACTGTCAATTGCTGAGTAAGTCAAGTTAATAATTTGCTAGTCGATGATGATGATGATTGCGTTACTGTATATATCGTATAAAATTTCATTTAAATTATTTATAAGACTTGATTTGTTTGATTTGTTCTGTTTTTTTATATACCTTAATTAACTTTCTGATTGAAAAAGTTATAATCAATTTTGAATAATTTTTCATAATAAATTTTTATCGGATTAGAATTTGGACAGAACCTGAAATTATCTAATTGAAATTTGTACTCCAATTTGGATCATATGATGAACATTTCGCATTTGTTCAAAGCACAAATGTGTTAAAAAGCACGTCACATTGTATAAAAATTGTTAAAAATACAAATAATTCGTATATAAGTTTAGTATCTTATCTTTTTCAATTGTATTGCGCGTTATGGAGATACGTTAATATTTGTAAATACTCCTATAAATATTCAGCATTATATACTGAAAATACTGAAGTGTTCCATATGGCAATATAAAATACTAATATTATACTTGAGATATTATCAGAAGCGTTTAGAGCTATTTTTAATATTTTTAATATTTAAGCTGTTGTATTTATTATCTAAATAGTATAAATAGAATAAATGTTTAATCTATGTTTGTACTTTAATGGAACATGTTTTAGTATATTTATGTAAATGCGTATATATACATATGTTATAGCATTTCTAAAATGAAAAAAAAGAGCTTTCTGTCTTATCGTAGATCTCCATGTTTAAATTCTGTGGACAGATATAAATATATTGCAATCTAATGACTTATACATTCCCATATTCCTTTATAGCACGTACTACTACAGCTTATTTTATGACACATCGAAAGGACGAGTCCCTTCAACAGATTTCTTTGCGTATAATATATAGTATAAACCTATTATGTATTCAAAACCAGACTTGCAAGGTTTATATTTTGATGCATTCGAAAATAGCAAACACTCCTTATTCCATACACTTTTTGCTCTTATTTACAAAAAGAAACATCTTTTTATTAGATATTAGTCATATGAACTTAGGTTAATCAAAGAAGTAATTTTAAAATTTTTTTATCAAACCATCGGCTTAGCTGTAAACAATACTACAATTTAGAGAACCTAGCGAAAAAAAGTAGTCAAAAGTTTTTAATTTAAATCTGAAAGACTGAATCTCATAATGATCGCTTACAGGGGATAGAATACATAGTTTTTAACGTGATTACATACCATTAAGACTCAAAACATCACGGTATTTTTAACTCACATATCAGCATAATGTAATGATAAATGCCCCCATTGACATTCTAACTTATCCACTGGTATCACTATAACCACTATCCGCTAGTATACTATCACCAAAAACATCTCTGCTGTTTTATGGAGAGCACAGTACCATATTGTAGAATGCAACTCCACATCGATTGTAAGTAATGAATAGAGTCATACTGTTCGCGTGACTTTGAGTTTTAACCACAACCACTAAGACACTACCATTAAAGGAACCAAAATCAATTAGTCAGGATAGCCGAAGCTATGTGCCCTGATCCCTGTGGTATCAGATCTACACCTCATGTTGGGTGCTGCAATTGAAATTCTTTCGAAAACCATTTATACTCGTAACAGTATTTGGTGGTGCTTAATGGATCGTAGTCCCCTATTGTAAACTATTTCCCGCGGGGACGCTCTCTTGGGACAGAAGTCTTAAGTTATTTAATGTGATTACCTGTAATGAAAGCTCAAAATCTCGATATTTTTGAAAGAATTTTCGATATGATATGCCTATAACGATCTCCTCGCAATTGCACTGAATTTCACCCTACCAATTGAAGTTATACCTCCTCCTTGATGAGGAGCGAAGCCTATCTAGCATCTCAGCTGGTCTATGGGTCACAGCTTCCGATTGAAATATGCAACGCCATATCGAATGAAAGTAAAGTTCATGGTCTCAATTTGACTTCCTTTGTAGCTAACGGCTTAAATTCTTTAAACTAAATCTCTAACTGTAATCGTTCCGAATTAGAGGTCTATGCGTGACATGTTGCTGCTGCCTGACTACCCAATTCTTAATCAAACCATTACATTTAATTTATAGCAAGTATTTGAAATTAATTATGGTCAATAAGTTCAACATTAAAAATAGTTGGAGTCAAAAGGTGTGTATATGCTAAGCGAATATTTGTAATAAGTTTATATTGAATGCAATTATGGCTCAAAGTCTATACATTGTATAATGAAATATTAATGCAAAATAACTACTTTAGCGTTCGCTATAAAGCCAAGCCAAATCAGACCACAAAGTTCTTGGAACGGTGCACTCAAGAGCAATAAAGCCAATTTAGTAATTAAAATTTTAATTTTATCGACTTAATATTTGCGCAAAAAAAAAAAGAAAATGTACACTGAAATACAGAAAGAAAAAAAAATTGAATAAAACTGAAAGCATTTAATTAGTGGATTGGTTGGTGTTCGGCATGGTTAAAAATCAAATTGAGTACGATAAACGGAAAGAACCAGCCGTTAGAGTCTGAGTTCAGTTTTAGTTTCGTGCTCAAAGCTATAAAGTTTATTGGTTTAGTTAGTAACTATGAATTTTACTAAAATTAGTTACTGATTTACCCCAAAGTAAAACATGTGAGTTGCTAAAAATGTGAAGTGCTAAAAATTTTGAAATCAAATACTTGATCAGAAAGAGTTATTTAGTTACTTAAAAAACGTTTTTTAATTATATGTGAAATTCTATAATTTATCCTTAATTTTAAACTGAAATTGCAAAGTCAAACGCTGGGGTTCAATGTTCGTCTATATTAAAATGCTATGTCATAAGTTTTAACATTAAAAATAACATAATTTTTGTACATGGGCTCATCTCTAACATAATGTTTTTATTACACTTACGCTAATTGCATTGGGCAATTCTTTCGCAATTCGCTATATTTGAAAAAATTGTTCAATTGATTTGCAACAACAAATTTCTCATGTGCTAATGAACTACAATGAGAGCGGCACAATGAGAGTCTCACAATGAATTTCATTCATTAGAACGTTTAAGCTAAAAGCTTTCAATTTATAAATAAAAGTTCAAAAAACATTTTCCAATTCTTTATATTCTCAGCGCTATTATTCACTCTTTTGTTGCATATCAAGCGAATTGTTGACATAACATTTTAGTTAACGTAAATAGCCTTATGGCTGCCAACAACAGCTACAACTACAACTACAACCACAGCAGCAACGAGTAGTAAAAAAAGTTTTTTCAGTGAATAAACAATAAAGCATAAAGAAGAAGAACAAATTAATTACTAAATTAAAAAACCGCAGAAATTAATTTTAGCTGCTGTCGTACGTGTACTAAATTTGCATGTTCTAAAAGCTTTCCGTGGAAAAGCTCGACTGGCCATAATGTGAGAAAAATGTACAGCCGTCATTTGTTTTGTGGCTCTGCAAGCAACTATCACTGCGCTTGCGATCATAATGTTATGCTTATCAACTACCAGTGCTGCCAGTGCTTTCAGTTACCCACTCCGCACGCTTGTGCTGTAGAACTGTTAGCGTCAAATATGCCAACAGCGCCATTAAACGGTTAATTTAAGTGAAAGGGCTTTGTGGCACAATAAAAATAAACTTTTCGCTTTGACCTTGTACACCAACACTGATTAGGAGCTTTTTCCCAAATATACACTGAAAAAATTAATACGAATCATAGTATGAAATGTTTTTGCTAACATATAGGAATAATTTTAGTGTATTGAAGTTGAAGTGTATGTTGACTCAAAAATAATGCATTTGCACAAATTTTTAAAATGATTTTACGAATATAATAGTCGGGGCTAAGAACCAATCCTATTTCTATCCTCACTTTAGTTTGTTATAGTTGTGAACCATAACTTCATATAAGTATTTTCAGTTAAAAAAATTATATTTCTACTGAAATTGTGGTAACATAATGCAGAAATTGAGCTGATTATTATTATAGGATGGATCAAGGGTATATTGCAACCTTTAAGACTTATTCTGCTATCCCTGAAGAAAGTTTTTCAAAGTAAGCATTACAAATAAAGAGCATGGTGAACCCAATAATATCCTTTGATTCGATAGTTCTCACCT